GTTGATTAAAAATGGAAATTTCCAACTGCATTTTGTAAACATAAGAACATAAAATAAATAGCTCACACTAAACTGGAACCACAAGTGATGTGTGCTTTGCTTAACTAAGCACAAGAAGGCATGAATTAATGCTCTTCATTATAGCTCTCACTTTTCCGACACACACATTACAATAACAAAGTAGTTCCCTTTAGGTTTGACTGTTCTGCCAACGCGTGGTTTGAATACTATCTTTGATTCTGTGTAGCATCCACAGGCAAGCCTAGTGTGAAGCCTTATTTGTATGCAACATTGAGATCTATTGCTTTATGGCATTTTAGATGTTAGTTGTAAAGTGGATGTAATTATGCTGTATGTCTCTGTCAGTGCAGACTCCACCTGGACCTTGCTGTTAATGTGATTTAACATCCTGATTGGTCTGCCTTGTATAATGTCCTTATAGAAGAAGGGGGATTTAAGAAGCTCTCAAGGTACCAGAACTGTAAAAAGATGGTTCTTTTTACCCACCTGTGTGAGAAGCTGGTGAAAAACTCTATGAGCCCAGGGAGCTTCAGAACAATTTAAATAACAACTATACCCTTCCCTGTTAAAACAGAATGATGCCATGTAAATAAGAAATGAATGAGCTGACATTGCAGACTTCTTTGCATTCATTAAATCTTGAGCAGACCATCACAAAAGTTCAGAAAGTTGCTTTCAATAGGTGGGCATGATTGCATTACAGATAAACATTTGTCAGAAGGAACAATGGTGGAATATAGTTAAACTGGCACCCATGGACTGATTGGATTTTAATGAAAAGCAGGAACTATGATAATATAACTCGAACTGTTGCTTTGTCCAGCACAGAAATTCTGCTTGAATACAAATGTCTAGCCATTTAGCATTCCTGGCATATTTATGAGAGAAACTATTGTTCTCACTTATGACTTTCAGAATGATATCTTTGACAACCATCTGTTATCTCCTGAATGGCAGTTATAAAAACAAATGATCAATTAAAAGTAAGACAGATTAATAATTGTTTTCATTGTTGTAACAATTATACTACAGGTATAAGCTAATACAGTACAAATGAAAGAAAATTAAGGATGTCTTTTATTAAGATTCTTGGTATATTTAATCTACAGTACATCTACATCATCTGAAATACTAAATATATACATAACAGAGACAATAATATAATACAGTACATTATAGGGTTCTGAAAGTACCGTTTAAATAATAATCATTCCTTACACTTATATAGAGCTTTTTTCTGGACACTACACTCAAAGCACTTTACAGGTAATGGGGATCCCCTCCACCTCCAACATGATGGGTGGATGATGCGTGGCAGCCAGATTTCGCCAGTACACTCCCCACACACCAGAACAGAGTGATGAAGCCAGTTCAGAGATGGGGATTATAAAAAGGCCACGATGGCTTCAGACCAGGGGGAAATATGGCCAGGATGCCCCTACTCTTTTCGAGAAACAGCTTGGACATTTTTATGATCATGAGTTAAGACATTGGTTTTATGTCTCATCTGAAGGATAGCACAGTTTTTACAAAAAAAAAAAACAGTATATGGTATAGTGTCCTTATCACTATACTGGGGCATTAGAACCCACACAGACTGTAGGGATGGCACCCCCTGCTGGCCCCACTACCACCTCTTCCAGCAGCAACTGCAGGTTTTTCCAGGTCTCCCATCCAGGTACTGACCAGGCTCACACCTGTTTGGTTTTAGTATGTTGCCAATTGTGAATTACAGTGTAATGTAGCTGCTGGCTACAGTCTTGTTGTTTTAAGCACAATAACTAATCCATTGCAAATATAATGTATTTTGTATTAGTTTTATTTAGCTTTTTTATTTTAGATAAAAGTTATTTAATCTTTAAGGACAAAGAGCTGCTTAAATGTTGCATGAGCTGCTTAAATGTTAATGCATTATCTGGCTTTAAAAATGGTCTTTTTTACCTTTTTCTCAAAGACTTTAAACACTCTTCTCTGCTGGTATTAATATAACCCATTAGAAGTCATCAGAACTATAGGACCTCACGATATGCAATCGAAACAGCCTGAGAAGAAGACGGTGCTGGAACTGAATGGTAAAAAGAACACCTGTAAAAAATGGAGGAGCTCCATCTACTTAGCAGGAGTGTGGTTGTGAATGATAGCTTTACTGTGAACCGCCATTGATCTGCAAATTAGAACTGATTGATTGCAGAGCAGCATTCCATTAAGGAACTGTAACTACATATTTTTAATTACAATTCACAGTTTCATTCCATGCGAAAAAACAGCAGGTTTCATTTTTTAATCTGAAAACCACAAACCGTCTGTAAATGCAATCATTAGATCACTTAGGTTTAGTTAGAGCATCCAGACATCTGAAAATGAATAGCACCCATTACCTCACATGTGAATGCAGCTAATGGCAAACGAAGCATTCAATCAAGCAGGCTGAGGACTTGTAATAAATACAACAAGAAATGTCATTAAGTAAGGGCTCTGCACAGAAACGTAAAAGCTAAGCATGTACAGTATAGGGTGGAGAAAACGTGAAGGGTATATTTCTGTTGCTTTAACTGGGAAATGAATCCTGGTTACTATCCTCAATGCCTGACATTAGGAAGCCTTATCTTTAATAGGGAGCATAAATTAGCCTTTTACTTCAATTTCCAGTTTGAAAAATTCTCCTGAATTGTCCACTTTTGAGACATCCTGCTTTATACTTGTTAAGACAATTTTCTCTATGCTTAAGAAAAATGAAATCTCTATGCACAAGCTAATAATCACTTTGAATTCTACACCCCTTTACCCAAAGAATGCACTCTAAAAAGAAATGTCAACAACAGTAACGTTGTTTTTGGTTAGACCATCCCTATCAATACAACTTAAATCATCCGAAGTTTCCATTTTAATCATGTATCGATTAGGGTTTAATTTAACCTTGTGTTAAATGCCATGGTTTGTCTTAGATGGCTTGATTAATCTGAAGCTACAGCACTGCATATTTTATTGCACTGTCTATACATGCACATTGGAGAGTAATAAAGTGTAGTAGAGTCACACACTGTACATGCCAGATGAAGTCAAGATAGCATGAAGAGCAGAACTCAGGATACTGCGAAACAGTATTATACTCTTGTAGCTTTTTAAATCACAAAGCTGTAATTTATTTTCAGATTGTTAAGATTATAACTTTTTTTGTTCTGAAAAAGAGTCTGAACCCACCTCATTTTCAACGTGTCCTTTCATACGTACCATGCTTTCACAACAAGGGGAGTTGTGTGTTTCTCTGTTGTGCCTGTATATTTGACCAGTATTTATATTCAGCTCATTGCTCTTTAAATTACATCTAAGGTGAGGTAAGAAAAATCAAACAGGGGTTGTGTCACATGCTTATTAAAATGCTATCGGTGAAAATGTAGTTTCTTTGTGCTGCAACACATTATCACTGCAGACTTCCTAAAGTAACATACTTAATGGCTGTGGGTAATAAATGAGTAATTTATGGAGTGTTTTTTGTGACTCTCTGCCCAGTTTGTCCGTAAATCCACAATCTCCTTACTGTTTCCGAAAGTGTTCTTTTGATTCCCCGCGCACAATTTTCATCACACCAGTCATGACAATGAGAGTAGCCAGGTGATCCAATTTGATTGAATATCTCAAACGCAAACAAGACAGTAAACATGGATTGCTCATTTTGAGCTACAATACAGAGAATAAAAGGCATTTTTCTCGTGCTACCAATTACTGGCAGTCAATGGGTTTTGGAGGTTGCCGTTTTAATTTTGATTAAAGACTGCTTAATATAAATTAAATGGGATGCAGAAATGTGGCATTCTAATATTTTGCTTCAAATATGACTCTATTCTCATTTAATCCTGATTTAGTCAAGTGTGGCATCAGAACATGCCTACTGGCTCTGGTAAATTGAGGATGTGCTGTGTGCTGCTTTGAAACTTTGTTACATTTCCAGACATGAAGCCTAAAGGAGGGGGTAGGTTAAAGCATTAGTTGTTAAGAGTTTTATATCTAAAGACCCAGAGACAAGGTTAAAAAAACAGGCAATTTCAGTTCAGTCTAGTTAATAAATGGGACCTCATATGGAGGGCAGAGTGAAGACCAAGGGTTATAGAAAGCATTCTCACTCCCTTTGTACAGGACGTGATTCTAGGAAAAGGTGGAGACGTATTGTATTAGGCAGGTGAGATTCTACTGATGCAGTTACATGACCCTGCCATGCAGAGCAAACCAATCTTCTCGAGTTTTGAAGACGTCAATGGCTGCACCAAATTTTGAAAGCTGAGAACATTTTCCTTCCGTTACCATTAATTCTTGTGGAGATAAATGATTTTAAGTCATGCAAATTGTATGCTTCCCCTGCTTTGTGAAGCATGCAACAATGGATTTGAACAAAATGAATGCTTGAGGGTGAGTTTGGGCAAACAAATAAGGCAGCCTTCCGAGGGGGTTTAAGAGCCCTGGATGGTGGTAACTGCTACAGAGATCCATGGAAAACTCTTACTGAAGCTGGAACTTAATTAGAAAAATTATTAAGGTACAGTAGACCCTAACAGACAAATGTGAAGGCTTAGGTTTTCCAACATACAGTATTATATAAAGAGTTAGTGTAGATGGGCCGTGATCTTTAGGCTGTCTTTCTGTTGTAATGAGCTGCAAAAAACAGGATGGGGTAGCCTTGTAGTCTTTCTTCACACTCAGTGTCTGCAGGAATAGTTAGGCATGTGACAGCAGTTGTTCACCTTCACTGAAATAGCTGGGTACAGGCAGCTGTCATGTCAAATACCTCTGCTGTTAGACAGGAAGATCACATTTTCCATAGCTCTACAAATATATTATCTATCGCTTTCTAACAACACAAGTGAAATGTCCTCCCCACACAAATACACACACACACACAAGCATGCAAAGTGTGCTATGTCAGAATGTTTCACTTATATAAACCAGATTTTCTTTTTATTTTCCAAAAGAGACAGACTCAAGACTTAGCATGGACTAAAAATATAATATATTGAAAATAAGGGTAAAGTCACATTCTGTGAGATCAGAAATATCCCAAAACAAAAACAGTGTCTGTTCAGGTTACTACAAATATCATCACAAACAATTTGAAATCCACACTCATTAACAGCGCTCGGGAACAAAAAGTCAAAAGGCATCAGTCTGTACTCAATATTTTATAACTCCCTCAGGAGACAAAGCAAAAGTGCAATGCAGAAACATTACCCCAATTCAAAAATCTCTTAGGTTACACTGATATTCAAAATCACTTTTAAACAAACGGGTGGAGAACAAAACTATGCTCACAGTTCCATGTGTGGACAGGTAACATTTTACAGGTGTCAATAAGTATTTTGTTTATTGTTGCCCTTCTGTTTAACTCCCACATAGATTTAAAAACATGTATTTACACTTGTCTTTTCCTGTCCCTGACAGCTTTCAGCAGTCCAAAGTGAAAGCTTCTAGTCTTTCTAGCTCTCATGCAGTTGTTCTAGTGGGCACGACCACAGCTCTGGCTTCAGGAAGTACTGAGGATAGGAAGGGCAAGTCATAGAGGTACAGGAGAGGAGCTGGACCGTGAGACAGAATATCCCATGAAATGAAACCTTGCAGTCTTGTTTAGAAATATGCAGTGCTTATCAAACATCAGAAAAAAAAAAACAATTAAGGCCTTACTCTTATCGTAGCAATTGAACATTTACTAATTGCATTTGGTAGACGTGTCAGGTACCCCATCAAACAATTGCTTAATACAATTTGTACTATATTAACTAATCAATTGAATTTTCAACTCAAGCACTGTGCACAGTATGTATTGAACATAGAGGTCTATGGTAAGTGCACGGGGTTTGTATCTTGTCATAGTATGACATCTTTATAATAAGACAAGAAGCATAATATATTATCAATTATCAAGACAGAAATGTTTTTTTTTTTCCCTTAAGTGTGCTTGTCATGAAAGAAACACAAGAACATAAAATGTTAGATATGGACATGTACAGACTGTTTATATAATTGACACTTTAACTCCTTTTCAGATCTACTCCTGGCTAACTGGAGTCAAAGAAGTGTATGTGTATTTATCAAACTAAAATATATAGATGTTCACTGAGCCACACTGTGCTTCACTGTGAAATACTTCAACAACTAAATTACTAGTACTAAGAACCACAGACACCCACTGCTGTAAATGAAAAATACATGTGTTCTGAACCTCAGGTTTAGGAAAAGAATAACAGTTGTGTGGAAAGAATTCCTCTAAAACGTAAAGTTGTTAAAATACTTGTGAGAGTGAGGAACAAGCACCACAAGATTTGAAAGAGAACTGGAGATAACATGGCCGCTGCATTGCATTGTGTGCTGTATATACTGCACAAGGTTTTATCTGATGTGAGTAGGTACGCCTGGAATCACTGGATAATCTCAAAAGGGGGTTGCAGACAGTAGAGAAAAAATACAAAAAGTCTCTGCACTTCTTGTTTTCCTGAAGAGAAACGCCTATGGATTGTATTCCTGTGGACACATATTGTTTGCATATATATCCCAGAGGAATATGCATTGTCCCACACTAAATATCTGTGTAATACTGAATTGAAGTCTTCAAGATGTTTTTTCTTTTTTGTTAGGGATGAGGCAGAGGTGTGGTTGACACATGTGGCGATCCCTGTGCTGAGCAGTAAATACAGTAGTACTGTGTATAGGGGGCGTAAGCAGACTGAAAAAGGCTCTACAGGGAATATTTCTACCTTGTGCTCTATCTGATTATACCTTTATTCTTACAGGAAAGTTTGAGCATCCAATGTTGACTGAAAATTGTTTACAGTCTATTTTCTGGATTCCATCTGCTCATCGTTCTTTCATGTAGTCAGGAACAAATATCAAAAGAACATAAAAAGCACCAAAATGTCTCATGTATGTCTTTAAAATATTGGCTAGAATGCAAAATTGGAAGGTTTATTCTCTGAGACGCATTCAATCCTGTTTAATCAACAGAGATGAGGAAAACCTAATAAGGGTCTTAAATCCTTTATTTCGAGATATCAGGTTTAAAAGAAGTAGCAGGGGTCAATTCCATGCTGAAAAGCAGAAAAAAAATATAAAGAGCCACAGCAGAAACACTATATTGTCCTGTTTTACTTTTCAGCATTGAATTAACGAAAACACATCAGCGGACGTTTGTAACTAAAATTTGGGAGGGATGACGCCAACCAAGCAATTTTATATCATAATCATCACCCACGTCATTTCTCATAGCTGTATATAATGGCTTTTAACCCTTTCCTTTTCACATTTCACCTTGCACCTCATCCTTCCCACTCTGTCACTCTCTGCAGAGACCCCTTGGTTAAGTTAACTTGGGGATCCCAGTGTCCGCATCCTGTGGTGAGAGGGCTGGCCCTCACCAAGTGGCCTAAATACTCAATCAACATCCTCAAACGCATCTAATTCTTGGGTGCCGTGATTCCTCCTGAAGTAGAATATGCACAGTAGTAAGTGAAAGTGCTGGGACAAATTACAAAGGAGACAGCTGAGTGTTTGATTTACTGTAGCACTACAGCCTCACAACTCGCAGATTCTTTGTTTTGATATCTGGCTGGGAGGGGCTGGGGCAGGTAAGGTCGACACTGTAGCTCTACATTTTTCCTGTGTTTATATGTGCATGGTGGGCTGATGTCCAGTCCAGGGTGTGCAGCCCATCTTGGAGTCTGTGTCGGTCAGGTTGGACTCATGCTCACTGCAGCCCCCTATAGGATAAAGCAGTTATTGATAAAGGCTGGATGGAAATTCCAAAGGCATAACAATCAAAAGCCCCCGAAATGCCAAACACTACTGCAAGACTGTAGAAGAACTGGATGGAAAATGCATATGACTTATTGTCAAAAACTCATGATAAGAAAAAGTTATACAAACTCCTCCATTGCAGTAAAATAATCAATGAAAAGTCAAAAGACACAACTTTTTGATAACAGTGAAGGGATGCAAATGAAATAATGGCTAGAGATTCTGACATTGAAAGCCTCCCTGCAAAGAGATTCTGAAACTGAAGTTAGTAGATTCTGGCAATGGACTGTACTGTCTTTATGCACTCTCTGAAATTTATCACTGTAGGACAAAATGCCAAATTAAATACATAAATGTCCAAAGAAAAGACTAGGGACCAACACAGTTTACTGTGTGAAGCCATAGCTGTCCCAGACTGTTGTTAACATAAGGGTGGAAGAGCATGCTAACATAGAATACATTGTGACTAAGAAAGTTTGGAAATCAAAGATTTCAAGAGGCAGTAATGACAAGCTGTGTGTTGAATAGGGGTATAGACAGAAAAAAGCAACAACTTGGAGACTTCAATATACTTTGAGGGGAAAAATGACTTGGATTGATTTATTGTCCACGATACTGAGCAGGTTTCTGTTAGCTCAGCTAGGCCTGGAGTAATAATGCTTTCTAATTAGGCTCACTAGGGCACCAACCAAAGCTCTCTAGATTGAAGGGCTGGAAAACATTTTGTTGGACTGAAAGGAAGGAGGTCCTAGACTAATGAATAAGAATAGAGAATTAAAAAAAATCTATGTATATAGTGATTTTAAAGATAAGCGTACTGTGTTTTTTTAAATATTAGTATCAAACAATTTTATGCCAAATTGGTTACAACTGAAATAAATTTTCAAACACAGCTTGAAGCAAAATTAATGACGTCCCACAGAAGTTACAGTGCATCTCCAATGCACTCTCCATGATCTGCTGAGCGTTTTAGAATTTCATTCCTAAAGGGACATAAAACTACCATCACTGCCAAATCGAAGTCACAGTTTTACTCTGACTTCGATTTGACTGGATTTTCAATGAGAAAAATGGGCCAAATGGTAACAAGCCCCTGGAATTTTTCAAAACCAAAAGAAACACTTTGACAGATCCATGCTTACTGAATTCAATTTGCTGATGCTCACAGTACCTGAAGTTATGTCAGAAGAATTAACTGAAGATGCCATTTTTTACCCATCCACTTAAATCCTTGATAATAGGGGATGACAGGAGGGTGGAGTACCATCTGAATGCTTTCGAAAAGGATTTGATCTAGTCTTTCATTTCACTCCACATTTCTGCTGGAATCAAACTATACGTCCTAACCAGCTAAGGTCCTCGATGCAATAAAAGGCCTATAGCGCAGGAGTAGCCCCTGTGCCCAGAATGATAAAGGATATCTTACACCTTGTTGTAAGGGATACAGTAACGGGTTTATTAAATTAGTGCAAAAGACAGATATAACTCATTCATAACGTCATTTTCGTTTGCTCATGACTTATGGGGTCTTTCACACACAATTTACGAACACAATACATACGACCCTAAAAAAATGGCCTTTGACCTTTTATTCTGTATTTGTGTGTGACCCGAAAATGGCATAACTAGCAGGAAGAAGGGGAGTGTAGCAAGTGCCAACTTGAAAACTATGTCTCACACAAATTAGAGGGAGACTAGAGGGAGTAAGTCAAAGAAAACACATAATTGTTTAAAATAAAAGTTATTTTTCTTCTTTTTTTGTGGTGAAGGTTGGGCCTGCTACTGTACCAACAGTACATCACTTAAAAGTCTAAGCATGGTAAAAATTATACCATGTAATTTTTACACTGTTACTAAACAGGTTATGCTGTATTCCACTTGATAACAATGCAATAAAAACAGAACGGAAAACAAAATTTAAACCCAGAGTTCCATCACCGTGTGCCAGAATTAGGCCAGAAGACCACCAAAATGCAGACAAAACAGGGTTTTGTTGTTGTTTTTTTCCCTCCCAACATTAGGAAATGGCATCAAATACAGTACTCCGTGACAACATTGCAAAATTACAACAGAAAACGTCACTCGCTTTCTTTCCAGAAGTTCAAGTTTGTAGTGTTGATGCCCTGCATATTCTAAGTAAACGCCGAAGAAGGAAACGGAGGAAACGAGAATGAAAAAACAGATGCAAAGTTAATTCAGGCAGCGAAGTCCATTTGTGGAGATAAGCAGAGTAGACCGAGGCAGCAGGGCAGCAGTGGAGTTTGTAAGGAGAGCAGGGTGGAGGGCTCAATAAGATCGTGCTTGGAGCAAAGTCAGGCTTACTTGTATGTAAACTGGAGACCTGGCAGACTGTATTCTTCAGAGGTTGGCCTTAATTAGCAAATCTAATATTTTTTACTGTTAGGATTTTTTTTTTGTGTGTGTGAATTTCTCTTCCGTACTGTGACAGGAACACAGAGCGTTGACTTTCAACTTCCAGCAAAACTTACAGGCCTAAGAAACGAAAAAGAAAAAGAGAAACAGAAACATGACGTTAAGATCCGAAACGTAACAAAAAACACAGGATTACAAGTTATTGTTTTTTGTTAAATGCCTTACAATTATTTGCAATATGTAATATTTGCAATATGACTCTTGATTTAAACAGCTTGACAATTATACATTTGTGTTTTCTTAATGCCTATGAAAATGAAAGCATTTTTAACCAGATGGATGAAACAGAAAACACCCCAAATACTGTATAGACATCAAATCAACTGAACAGGAGGCACCACTTTCAACAAAGCGTTTTGGGAGTTTGCAACAAGCCACCATTCATTTGTTGAATCTGTTAACCTGGGATCCTTCAAAAAAGATTTTCTTAAACTGAAGTGCATAAATGCAGACTCAAGGACAGCATGACCTCACTGTATGTGCTTTTTGGAAAACGAGTAAGCAGCTATCTTATCTCAGTCTATCATGACCTAGGAGAACCAGGGTCAGTCTGGGCTTCAATCGAGGAGTCTTAAGGATGCATAAAAATTATCTGAAAATAAAGTAAATGTCTAAAAAAATTAAGAATATACAATGGTTAAATCAATCTGATTTTTCTTTCAGGACTGTTGTTCTCAGTTTTTCTCTTTTAACATATTCGAAGTCAATGGTTAACACGAAGTGGAAACAACATATTAAAACCTGCTAATTGGATGATGACATGTACTGCATTTTTTAATATTTTGAGTCTGCACATTTCTTTCAATCAGCAATAATGAGAATTTGTTTGGGAACAATCATAATTAGGTTGTGCCTCTGCATTAATATATTTGCTAATTATGGTTGAGAGTTTGGTTCCTGATATTGTAGTCAATGATTATGCAGTATTTTTATAAAAAGGAAGAATATGGGATCAATTAAATGCTGCAATTTGCTCATAAGGAAGTTGATCAGGAACTTCACATTTGTAAAAGTGTAATGATATCACTTGTACATCATTAATAAAGTTCATTATCACTGATTAGTAATGAAAAAGTGAATATTAACACATTCTAACAACTTCTCGTTTTAAATATGATTTGGCTTCAAACATTGTAAAGGGATAATTTAGATAAAAACAGCAAAAGAAAATTTCAATGGAAATGTAATGAATTAATGATAATTACAGATCAATTACTTACCTTCCATTACTTACCTTCAACCACTTTAAAAGTTGCTACATACAGTATAATGCAAATGTGTAGGTAAAATTACTTTATAGGCTTTTAAAACAATCTGTGCTAAAAAGCTCTCTCCTATCCGTGAATTTCAGATGACAGCACTTAAATACATTTTGTTGATTCACGTAATTGTATGCCATTTGTCCCTCTTCACAGTAAGCATTTTGTCAGCTGTAGGTAATATGAAGGATGTTATTAGCGCTAGAGTTAAGATGGAAATATAGTATTGTTGAGACTTATAATTATAAGCCACATGTTTCTTGTATTTTCTCACTAATACAACCCACAGACAGCTTGAATTCAGAGCTACATTCAGGCTTGGCTCTTGTTTCATGCACAGCAATCCCATGATGCTTTGAAGAGGCAACACTTTGCATCAACCGACAGAGCAGAAGCTACTCTGTCACTCCAACCAGCACATCCTGGAATACTCACAATCGCAACGAATGTAAATTCCTGCCTGGACTCTACATATAAATCTTCAATGAATATGAGCAATGTGCGGTTTTCTAATGAAGGCAATTAAGGAACATATCTTGTCTTTTTGGCAAGGCCATGTCGGCCCATATCTGTAGAGGGATGAAGGAAGATAAGGAAACTGTATGCAAGGAAGCTTTGCATGTATCCTGACCCTTTTGGTGATGTACCATTGGTGAAATGTGCATAATGCACAGTGCTCAACACAAAGACTTTTAAGGCCAACACTTGTACTGTACTTTGCCTAACCCACAAGTCATTTATTAAGCAGTACGATTAAGAAGCCAACAAGTGTAGTAACTAATGATTACAGTTTTTCACTTAAATCTGTCTGCTATGCCTGGTGAAGAAGTAGAAAAAGCATATTGAGAATAGCAGTCTGATGCATGTAATTGTCTGCCTTTAAAAAGTAACAGTTTTGTACAGTCATTTGCCACAGCAGTAAGAATGATCTGAGCTTGACAGACCCCCTGCAAATGTGACCCCCATGACCCCATCTGAAGAAAAAAAATAACAGTGACCCAAATTAAACATGTTTGTGTTTCACTGCAGGCAGCTCTAACTCCATTAAAATGCACTGAAATATTCATTTGCAAGAGGTCAAAGGCAGTTAATCTTCCAGTGATCATGTTTGGAATCTGTTTTTGGTTTACCATTCTATACGCACTCTTCTGCTCTGGCTTTTCAAATTAAATTATGAAGCCGTTTTGAAGAATGCAAACCGTAATTTTGGGAGACATTCTGAAATCATTTGAGAGCAAACTCGGAATCTAGGAACGATAGAGAGAGAGAAAACTTAGGTAGATGAATATTTAAAAGGTGGATGCATCGATTTTCCAGCCTCCTTTTTATGTAAAGTTAAGTGATTTTGAAGGAAGAGTTGAGCTAACCCCAAAAAGATATCAAAACCTCTTTAGAGAAAGGTATATTATAAACCTGACTAAAATGCTTTTTTTAGGTTATGCATGAGAGAGGGAATGCTTCTGAGCATTTCATGTCCTCAATCCATATATCAGGTGTATGATATGAAAATGGGGAGAAAAACTAATTGCCTTCCCTTTTAAAATCGATAAACTAAAGCAAACAGAGAGATAAAACCACAAGAACAACAGAATCTATAACACACACACAGGCCCTACTCAATGAGCCAATGAAGCCAGTAGCAGAATAGACTGATGCCTTTTTGTAAGGGCTGTGATAAATGTTGTTTGATCTAATTATGTTTACAATGATTTTGCAAAATAGATTCTGAAGCCTTACATCTGGACTTTGAACAAACACAATAACTCACTCTGTTTCCTTTTCCATTTTCCAGATCTGTGATTTTCAGTTTCTGCCACTGACAGAAGGTAAGCAATCTCTCCTTTTTATTCGTTGGAATGAAAAAGAAAGTTTGACAAGAATTATTTTTTCTCTTTCAAATTTATTGTGCCAGTGCTGCTCACTCTATATATTTTTTATCCAAGAGGAACTCAAATAGCCAGTCAGCATAATTTTGATACTTTATAATTAAAGTGAATGACTGCCAGAGACCTAGACTACTCAAGTCAAAATAACATCAGAAGAGTGAAAGAAAATGTATAGCAAACTACCAAGATTCTTATGAGAGGGTCATTCAAATATCAGACTCATGGATACAAATACAAATACAAATAAATACAAATACAGTGTTACATGAAAAACCAGTAAAGGTAGCGGAGTTTAGGAGTTTCAGAATGAGGCACATTGAGTAAGACAAGTCTATCGATTTCCCTTTTCAAACCAGCCAAGTCCTGTAACTGACTGAATTAGATTAAAAAATGCCTATCTTTACCGAAGAGGGAACTCAGTTTTTTGTACAGAAATACTGTTGAAAAAACATTTTTGTATGCTCTGATACTGACAGACATTTTAATGTAAGGGGTGGTTATGTTTTGCTAATATCTAATGCCCCCAATAAGTATTCCTGGGGTACTTGAAAGTTGTATGCTACATCTTGAGTACACATTCAGTTTCTGTTTTATTTAAATTGAGGAATCTAGTTTTTATCTTATCTTCTCAATGAAACCCGATTTACTTGCAAATGTTAAATAAAAATGTTAAAGTTTTATTTGTCTAGAAACGTTTCCACTTGCATCTTGTCGAATGTCCACTGCTACTGAAAAAGATCTGTGCTCTTAGGCCACAATCTCACATACCAAGTTTTGATTCTTTCAACATGTTTGTTTAGGGAATTATTTTCATTTTCCTTGAAATACTGTGTTTTCCAGTGTTTTATTTTCTTCAAGGAACGTCCTTTTCTTGTTTTCCATAATCATGGACACAGTTCTTGGAGTGCTGACTTCTTTTTTCACAGAACAACATGCAGTAGCAAGCATCCATCTCTGCAGACAAACTCTGCAAGTTCACAGCGCAACAGTTGTTAAGCCGTTTTCTGTTGCTAATGGATACTGCTTCCACAGATTTTCGCTTAAAAGGGATTTAGAGAATCACCCGCTAGTGGGCTTAATCCTGACCACTGCATTACCCCCACTTGTAAGATTAATCTTCCTTGAAGGAAATTAGTAACGTGCAGGTCTAAATAAAATAGGGACACAGCAGGTAATTGATTGTTTCAAAATAGAAGAGTTACGTACAGTAGTATCTACAGCATAACTACAGCAGTACAATTTGAGCTTGTTGGACATCTTGTCTTCTGCACAGAGATTCTCCTAGTGAAGGTTCCCAATTGGCAGAGAACTAAATTTCAGGATAGAGGCAAGGCTGGGGTCTAAACACCATCCTGTGACTTCTGGAGTGCTTGGAGGCTTGCAGTGATATCAGTGAGGGATGTACAGTAGTGCATTTCCAGTGAGTACTGACCCACCTGTACTGCACTGTGGAGGCTACAGTGTGTTAAAGAATAAATGACTGGCGGATAGGTGTGTCAGACGTGCTGCCCATCCCCATTCTCACTATATTGTTGCTGTGTGAGCTGAGGCTTTAAACAAAGCAACATCTGATTCTAATCCCCAAACTAGTGACAAAAATGGCTTTGTTAGGGCCAGAGGAGCTTTGAGAGACTGCTACTGTAGATCTGGATAAAATGTCAGCCTGTTCCTAGCAATGCCATCCTAGCACTGCTTCCATTGTCATCTTTGACACAAAATCCAATATAATTCTTCATTTCATGAAGAAATCCTAAAACATAATCCCAAACAAAGAGAAAACACAAAAATCTCGGGAGGATTTGCATACATTTGCATTCCTTTGCCCCGAAACACCTTCACAAATTCAAACAAGATTTAATTTATTCCCACTTGTAAGAATTATCATTGTGAATTGCCTTTTTTTCCTACTCCGGCA